TTGAAAATATACATCAAGTATTTCATTAATTTAAGGGTAATTTTGAAAAAATAAAATTTTAAGGCATATTTATTAGTTTAAATTAAAAAAGTATAAGGATTCATAATTTTAAGAAATTAGTTATTTCAGAAAAGGTACTCCTAATTATTATGTCTTATTACCATCTATTAGTGGAAAATTTTAATAATAATAATTAATTTAAAAGAGTGTTACTAGCATTTTTTTTTCCTACTGTATGGGCTTGGAAGTTGGAATACACATGCAAGACAGAGAATGTAGCGATTCCATAAGCTGCCCATGCTGATAATACCTCCACTTGCAAGTATTTACGGGTAAAATTTGTTACGGATAATAAATGGATAGGTTAATTGAGTACCCATAGATAATGGGGAGGAATAATTTTTTACACGTTTATAAATGGGGCGGGGGTGGGTATGATGATATCCATACCCGCGGGGACCCGTTTAATAATATTTCTTAAATATCCTAATTATCCTTGTACCACATAACCTAAAACTATACTCTCTCATCTAATTTTCTTACAAAGTGAGGTTGATGAAGTTACCAACATGTGTTAAGCATGTTATAGAATTATGTTGGATGTAATTGGATTTATTTTCTAGCTTTCATTGGACCAATAAAATTTATATATTATAAGTTATTTACTTTCATTTGAAATTATGAGATTGAATTATTGTAATTTTATGATGAGACTTTAACTTAATTGTGAGATTGATGTATATTAAGTTATTAATTATCTTGCTTTTTTATTATTATTTCAACATAATTAATATTAAATACAAGTTCAAAATTAATAATAAATTTTTATTTTTAATATTTTAATGACATTAAATATAAATTTAAAATTATTTATAATATAATTTTTTTAATTTATTAAAATATTTATAAATATCCATGAATATTCATGGATATCCGTGAGTATTTAAGAAATTTATAGATACCCACTTAATGGATATCCACGTGGATATAGAATGGGTATAGGACCAATTTTCATCTAACGAAGCGAGACGAGTTTACTATTACCTACACCACGGGACCCATTGCCATCCCTACTGATAACACGAGGTGAGAAGGGGATACCGACATCTTTGGCATAAGAAAGGTCAGAGACTTGCTTCACTAATTCTGTCTTCATAATTTATTTATGACTTAATTCCAATTCTATAGAAATCTTTTTATAATTCGAATTTATTTTAAGAAGATATATTTTATAATTGAAAAATAGAAATGACGTGATTAGAATAATATGAATAAAATTTTAAATTTAAATCTTAATATTATTATTGAAATTTTTATGATAAAAACAATAACTTATATGTTAAAATGTTAATTATTGTGAAATATATTAAAATTAATATTGATTGATTATATCGTAATATAATTTATATGATGTTTATTTTATTTGTATCATTAATGATAAATTTAGTTCAAAAATAGTTATGGTTTCTAATTAAATCTAATATATATATATATATATATATATATAAAATCATACATTGACACGTCATATCTGATCCTTTGTAGATTTGACACATGTCATATGAACTTCTATAAATTTAGCATGTGTCATACAAACTTATAATAGTACTGGTATATTTTAGTCTATATTTTACAGGCTAAATGTATTATATGTTTATAAATTTTATAATAAATATATAAAAATAAAATTATATTTAAATATATAATTTATA